ACGGCGTCTTCGCGTCGCTGGTGAACTTGTTGGAACGAATTTGAAATGGGCGCGGCAGACGCGCGAGAGTGGCTCGCATGGCATTATTTGGCACAGATCGGTCCAGCCCAGCACGCTCGCAGGGGCGTTCGGGCAATTCCGACGCGCGCGCGAAGTAACACGGTACCGAGCTGTTGAATACACGTGGTCTGTCTTAAGATTTCGCAAGAGCGCGCGCGCGCTTTTGTTGAACATCCGCGCTGCGAAAGCTCATATGTTTGCATGTTCCCTCGGGGGCCCGGTGCTCGATTATGAAACCCATGCGAAACCGAAGGTTCCCGATAGGTTTTGGCATGCGCTCGCGACGACGCGCGCGCGCACTTCGCCCCATGCTTTGCAGGGGCTTCTTGGGAACTCTTGAGTTTTGATGGGCGAGCGCGCGCGCGTCGTTGTTTGGGGAAAATGGCGGGGGGGGGGGGGCGGCGATGTCGGCTTGGCTGGGGTAGTATGTATTCGCAGGAAGGATGGACATTGGAAGGGCCTATCTCTTTTCTAGAAAGGGAGGAGGGCGGTAGAACTTACGTCTTCTTTAGAAAGAGAACTTATGTGGTGCAATCCACCCCGCTGAACTTGAAGCCGACATCCCCACTGCTCGCGCAAGCATCCCCCCCACGCACACACACATGCACGCACGCGCGCACGCACCCGCAACATGTTTGGCGATTTCATAACCCGGGGGGCGGCGGCGCCACCGATGACGACGTCGATGTTGACATCCTCACTGCCGATGATCGTCACCGTGCGTCGATGATGAAGGTGGGCATATCGACGATACTCGGACGTGCGCGATGACGAGATGACGTCGGCAACGCCTGTGACAATGACGAAGATGGCGCCAGCGACGACGATGTTCAAGAGGGCGACGGCGCGAACGATATCGGCGCCAATGATGGCGAACGCGCTGACGATGCCGCTGCCCATCTGTTGATGAGGCAGGGCCTCGCGGTGACGCAGACCAGACTGCAGAGGAAATCCGCGCGCGCGGAAGTTCAGCGAACCCGTCAGACTGATCGCGCGCGCGGCGGCGCGCGCATGCGCCCCGCGAAGTTTTCCTGCAAGGGATTCGCGCCCTCTGCGCATAACAGGGAAATTGCGGGTGCACCGCGCATTGACATGACATTGCTGGATTCCACAGAACGCATGCGAATCTGATGGCTGTTTGTAGGATTTGAACACGAAGGCGCGAACAGGAAAGTTGCAAACTCTGCGATGCAAAACTTTTTTTTCTTACAAACGATTTTGACATGGGCTCGTGCGCGATGATTATTTCTGTGGTGCGGGATTTTTGAAATTTGCTTCCTCAAGATGAAGAAGCGCGCATCGTAGCTTTTGCAAAAGATGGGGGGGGGGGGGGGGGGGGTCAACGCCAGCTTGGTTGGGATTGTATGACGTCGCAGGTAGGATGGGCAAGTGTGTAGAATAAATATGAAATCGCAACATAATACGGGGGGAACGTCTATCGGGGAGTTTATATTTTTGTCATCAAGGAACACCTATGCGGTGCCATCTATGTTGTTTGTGGGCGACGCGGCGACAAGAGCGCCAGACGGGCCCAAACGACGGCAGCGACGATGCAGTGACGGGGCGGCGACGGCGGCCACGTAGCTGCCAGACCGAAAACACGGCCCAGACGACGGGCGGCGACGAGGCGACCACGGGACGGCGACAGCGGCCGCATTGCCGCCATATCGAACATACGCCACCATTCCTTTTTTATACAAGAAAGAAGCTCTAAGGGCAAGCGCTGTTTGGGGAATAGAAGGCCCGACTGTTGGCCCGGCGGCCCCATTCCCGTCCGTCGCCGCTAACGGGTTAGGGTTTTGATTGCACCGACTCGATTGCACCGCGTTGGTTGCGCCAGTTAACTGTTATCGCGTACGTAGCACCCCGCAGATGCGGATAAGAGCGAGGGGGCGGTTGGGACGTCGGCTGTTTGCGAGACTTTGGAAAAGCCCGCCGCACGCGCCAAAGCTTCACGACAACGATCCCGCCGCAGGCGCCGCTGGTCGGTCGCAGGTGGGTCGCAAATGGGTCGCGGGTGGGTTGCGGGTGGGTCGTTGTTGGGTCGCGGGTGGGTCGCGGGTGTAGCGGGCAGAAAAGTCACGCCATCATAATCGCCCCGACAAGCGCAGTTGTTTAATAAACGCACACAAAAATTGAATCGAACAAGGCAGGGTTGTCCAGTAAACGGCCAGGACGGTTCAGTCAACGTCAATTGTCGGGTCCAGGTGGTTCTGCGTCCCTTGGGGATGGGTCGCGGGGTGGGTCGCGGATGGGTCGCGGCGTGGGTCGCGGGTGGGTCGCGGATGGGTCGCGGATGGGTCGCGGGTTGGGTCGCGTAGTGGGTCGCGGGTGGGTCGCGTGTGGGTCGCGCGGTGGGTCGCGGGGTGGGTCGCGGGTTGGATCGCGGGTGGGTCGCGGGGTGGGTCGCGGGGTGGGTCGCGGGGTGGGTCGCGGGGTGGGTCGCGGGGTGGGTCGCGGGTGGGTCGCGGGTGGGACGACAACAAACAACAGCAGCAACAGCAACAACAACAACAACAACAATTACTAGCACGTGGGGACACTCCGTTCTCACCAGTGCCAGGGTTTTCATACGACGCCCGCCAATGCCCCCACTTTGTGGGGGGGCCGGTTCAAGCTCTACCACATTTCCAAACGACTCTTCGCCACCACCCACACCCAGCTTCCCGCCCTATGACGTTCGGACACTTCACTTCGTGGCCTGCGGACGACCGTGGCTACTACACTGGCGCATGGGTACAGCGGCTTGTTGTGGTAACATTTTCTGGACGCTAGCTTAGTATACGACTTTTCCCCCTGTTCCAACACTGGACACCTGTACTGGTTTTTGGTGGTAACGTGTTCCTGACGCTAGAATAGGAAACCACGGTAAACCATTACGACGCCGCTACTGTCTGTAGGTCCTACAATGATATGGACTGCTCTGGCTGGTGACACACGGACTTGTTGTGGTAACATGCCGACGACGACGACGACGACGACGACGCGACACGCGCGCATGTGTCCCGCATGGTATGTTTTGCAAGGGATCGTGGCCCCTGGCAGGCGCGCGAACGCCGTTGAAAGAGCTTGCGAAAGTAGCTCGCGCGAGCTCATGTAACATAAATGTTGAAAAACCATTGGTTTTTTAGGATTCGGACAGCGCGCGCGGGTAGAAATTTTGAAAATCCGTGCACGTGTTTTTCGAGGACCTACGGTGCGATTCGTATGATTTTATGTTGCGCGGTGCTGAAATTCTTAAGAAACCCAATGGTGTTTGAAGATTTCGGCGTGCGCGCGCGAAGAAAAAACGAATGTGTCCCATATGGTATTATTTGACAGGGATGATGGCCCTGGCATGCGCGCAACCGTTGTTGCAGAAGTTCGAAGCACGTGAAAAAGTTGCTCGCAAGAGCCCGTTTGACAGAAATGTTTAAAAAAGTACTGGGTTTCCTAAGAAATCCGCAAGAGCGCGCGGGATGAAATTTTGACACTTTTTTTTTTTTGAAAAACCATCGGGTTTTTTTTTTTCATGTTTTTATGTTAAAATCGCTACGAACACCAGGGTTTTGGAAGGATTTCATCTTGCGCGCGCGAATGTGCACTTCGTGTCATTTTTTGCAAAGGATTCGTGAAGTTTGGTTATGTTAGAACAAGACATGTCATTTTATATTGTTTTTTGACAGGGAAAGCGGGCGTCAACAAAACAACCCGATCCGGACTCCCCCGTTTTGCCTGAGACTTCCTCATGAAAATGATGAAAATGTGGCTGCGGCCTAGGCGCGGCGAGGGGGGCGTGCACCAGGGGGCCCAACAATAACTATTCTTTAGAAGTAATAGTATTCAACAACAACAACAACGCAACCAACAAAAGTCTCACCACGAATTTTTTGTTCAGCCACGCACCCAGGGACAATGAATTACCGTTCGGCCCCTTCACTCTGATAGTGTCGCATCTATATATATATACACACATATATATATATATACACACACTCCAGATTTCGTAAAAAAAGGGAGGGGGGTCTCATTTCGGGGGGGGGTCTCTTCCAGGCTATCTTGGAGGGCCTGGGGGGGTCTGGGGACGATGTTTTGGAGGGTTCTCCCACGGGGGAGGTCTGAAATGGCTTGTCTTGGAGGGTCCAGACCCCCTCCCTTCTATTACGACATCTGGAGCGTATATATATATATATATATATATATATATATCTATATATATATATTATATATATATATATATATATATTGTTTGGGGTCCACGCTGGCTAACATGGCTTCTCTCGCTCGTTCGGGCCTGCCGGGAATCCCCCGTCGCCACGGGCAGGCTCGCCCCGAAATCCTGGCCGGCACGCGGGAGAGGTCCGGGGTGCAGCGGTATCGGCACCTCTGGTCAAGCAGTGGCGAGGCGTCTTGGCGTGCCTATAGGCCTACCAAACGATGGTGTAAGAAGGTTTTGTGTTTTCCACGAAGGGTTCTTAGGACATGTTTGGTTGGGACTGTCCTGTTTCAGCACATCGGGCTTAGGTTCTGAGAACATGGTTTGTGTGATTCGGGCATTTTTTGGGTTATGAAAACATGTCGTAGTAGGGCTAGAGGAGTGCCGGGACGGTCTGTCCCTGCTCAATCTTGGTCTCCCCAGGAGCGTGGTGGTGGTCTTTTTTGCTGCCCGCGTGGCTGGCGAGAACGGCGTCGGCGCGGACGCCCTCCTGTCGGAGAGGCCCAGCCTGGACGGGCGGCGCGGTCCGCGGCTGGACGAGCTGAGAGGTGGTCCCGTGTTCTGGCTGGACGATCTGCGAGGGCACGGGTTGTGCAGAGGGTCGATGGGGTCGTTGAGTTGGACGCTCGAGTCTTGTGCGGACAGGTTGATGTGACTGGTCTCCACCACCACCACCATAGTTTGGAGGGGGGAAGGGAGGAAGAAGAAGAGGGGGAGGAAGAAGAAGAAGAAGAAGAAGAGGGGGAGGAGGACCCCATCCCCCCCCAACTGATGGTGGTGGTGGTGGAAAGCAGGCCCATCACAGGTGCATCACTGGCCCAGGATGTCGGAGCGTGGATTCGATATCTTTAGCGTCGGAGGCGCTTACATTCGTGCAGCGAGAGCTCCAGAGGACCTTCTCGGAGATCGCTGAGCAGGAGCGCCAGCACGGATACGTGACAGGATCTGTCATGAGCCCCGCGCAGATATCTTGTGTCGGGGGCGCGAGAGGGCAGACAACCATCTACGGCCAAATTCGGTTAACACCCTTCCTTGAACCACAGGCTGTCATGGAGAAGGTGGACAGACTGGTCGATCAGTTTGCTGAGGAACGGCGACGGTCTGATGGAACAGCCGCTGGATTGTCGCCCGACCATTGCGAAATTCCTGTGGATCTTCGATGGGGCGACAGGATCGAGATTGGTACAGTCCGCACCGTCAGAACTTGCAAGGATAGAAGAGAAGGCAACCGAAGCATCGTGACTCCACTGCTGCCTCACATTCTGGAAGGTGTTACGATCCCTCCGATCAACCTCCCCGATGCAACCGCCTCAGTGGAGCCGAGTGCTCAGAGGTTGCTGGAGCGGGTCCTACGCGAGGACTGCAGCGAACGAGACTCTGAGCTCGAGACGTTTTGCGCAGACGGCTGCATACCGCATCTGCGGCACGCGCAGAGAGAAGGATTCGACATTCAGCTCTGCGGCTTCGGGCCGACCGACGGAGACGCGGATTGTTGCTCCATGAAGCTGATGCACAGGGGGTTCGACATCTTGCGCCGGGTCATCTTCCTTCAGGACTCCAGGGCAGGTTATGATTTCTTCCTGCTCCTCCTGACGTGTTTTTCTCCCTCGTCTCCTCCCTCCCCCTCCCCTCCTCACCCCTCTTCACCTCTGAAGTAAAGCCCTACAGAGAGAACGTGGATTGTATGTCTGTCCACCTCTTGAGACCCGAGTGCGCTGTTTGCCCCTGTAAGTTACTGCGGCGTGAGGTCGTGTTTGTGTTCCCCCAGTCGCGGAGCAGCTGACCACATCCGTATCATAATCGTTGTTGTTCCTGTCTGATCCTGTGACGGCGGTCGTGGTGGAAGGGCGCAACGTAAAAGAACCACCCTGCTGGCGGCAGCAAGTCTTCCGCGACCGTCCGTTGAGGTCTCCCCCGCGGAGATCCCTGGAGGCCTGTGCAATCCTGGGTATGTAAAACACGCACGGCGTTTGCCCTCCTGCTCCTCCTCCTCCTCGCCCATAATCGACCCCGGGGCCTTCTGGCCAGCTGGTGTTCTGCATACCCATCGGTCGTTGAAAGTATGTATTTCTGGATTCCCATATTCCAATCTACTGTAAGCGCCTTCCTACTGAAATGATCGAGTGGCTGCTCCACCTATTCCGACCTCCGAAGGGGGCGGACGAACCCCACTAGTATGTTCAACGCCTTCCTACTTCATAGTCCTACCTACTTCTTCCGACCAATGGGTACTCCAGATTTCGTAATAAAGGGAGGGGGGTCTCATTTCGGTGGGGGGTCTCTTCCAGTCTATCTTGGAGGGCCTGGGGGGTCTGGGGACGATGTTTTGGAGGGTTCTCCCACGGGGGAGGTCTGAAATGGCTTGTCTTGGAGGGTCCAGACCCCCTCCTTTTTATTACGAAAACTGGAGTAACGCATACGGGGGTGCGTTCTGGCCAGTTGCTGCTCTCCCGGATGCAGCCACGGCGACGAGTCGCCTCCTCTGCCGGACAAGAGGGGCGAAAGGATACCTCGACCTTCGAAAGTAGGCCCTCCCTTGAAGACAGGGTGGCCGCGGTGTCCACAGCAGTGCCATGCAGCAGGGGAAAGCGCCACCTGCCTGAAGACTACTCCTTTGCTGGACAAAAGGGGCGAAAGGATACCTCGACCTTCGAAACTGTTGACGCTTCGCGTATCCCCACCAGCCCATCCAGAAACGATGCTCAGGGGAGTTGAGGTGATCAGGGAAGTCGGGGAGCATGCAGAATAACAAAGGGCGGGGGAAGCTGTCACAGACCCCGAGAGGGGGAGGATGGAAGAGGAGTCGTCGTCGTCGTCGTCGTCGTCGTCGAAGGAGGAGGAGGGGGAAGAGGAGGAGGAGGAGGAGGAGGAGGAGGACGGAGAAGGAGGAAGAATCGGAGGAGGAGGAGGAGGAGGGGAAGGAGCTTCTTGGGGGTCTTTTGAGGGCCTCTTGGAGGGCTTTTTGGGCGCCTTGGGGCATCTTGGGCGCCTCTTGGGACCCTCTTGAGGCGCTCTGGGGAGCCTTCGGGGCGCTTTTGGGGCCATCTTGGAGGGAGTCGATCAAACAAGAGGGGGGGTTTAATTAGCGCCCCCCCTCGGAAGCCCCTAAAATCGCCTCTTGGACCCCTCTTGGAACGCTCTTGGAGTGCTCTTGGGCGCTCTTGGGGCCGTCTTGGGGCTCTTTTGGGGCTCTCTTGGGGCCCTCTTGGGCCATCTTGGAGCCATCTCCAGGCCTCGGATGGCCATCGGAAGCGAAAAGGCGAGAAAGCAAAAATCATTGATTTTCCTTAGGTTTTGGGACGATTTTGGCCTCTTCGGGGCCTCCTTGGGGAGCTGTTTGGCCACTTGGAGTTATCTTGGGGCCGTCTTTGGGCTTCTTGGAACCATCTTAGGAGCCATCGTGAGCGATCTTGCGCTATCTTGAGCCATCTTGGAGCTCATCTTGGGTTCTCTGAGGCGCTCTTGGAGCCGTCTTGGGCCATCTTGGACGCTCTAACTACCCGCGGCCCCCCCCGTCCAGGTCTGGCCAGTTGCTGCTCTCCCGGATGCAGCCACGGCGACGAGTCGCCTCCTCTGCCGGACAAGAGGGGCGAAAGGATACCTCGACCTTCGAAAGTAGGCCCTCCCTTGAAGACAGGGTGGCCGCGGTGTCCACAGCAGTGCCATGCAGCAGGGGAAAGCGCCACCTGCCTGAAGACTACTCCTTTGCTGGACAAAAGGGGCGAAAGGATACCTCGACCTTCGAAATTAGGCCCTCTCTTGAAGACAGGGTGGCCGCGGTGTCCACAGCAGTGCCGTGCAGCAGGGAACAGCGCCGCCTGCCTGAAGACTACCCCTTTGCCTAATATTGGCATCACCTTCTCTCGGCACCGATCTTGATGATCCCCTCAGCATGTGATGGCACATAAGATTGAAGCCCCCCGGTGCTTGTCCATCTTAGGCTGTCCCGAGGAGAGGCTGGACATGGACTGTGCGGCTGGGCGGGGCCTCTCGGAGCCGCAGGTGCCCTCGGAGCAGGAATCCGCAGAGCAGCGCCTGGCAGAGCAGGCCAGATTATGGGGGGGCCTGCAGGAAGGTGAGGAAGAGGGCGAGGAAGAGTCGACCCTTCTAAGGGGGCTTTTGGCGTTCGTGGAGGGAGCCTCTCCTGGGCTCCCACCGCCTCCCCCCCCCCCCATGCTTTCTCTGGGCGCAGGCGTGGGGCGGCTCCGCCCTCTTCTCCTGCCGCCGCCCCGAGGCCGCGTTCGCGGCTGTCGTCCGCGCGGCTGTCGTCCGCTCAGGGCCCGCTGGGGGGAGGCGGGGATCCCTTCGAGGACGAAGAATTTGCATGAGCACGAGGCCTCGGAGCTCCAGGCGGAACTGCATGAGCATGGGGTCTTGGAGCTCCAGGCGGACTTTCGGATCTGCGTTGGGACCCCCCTGGAGGCGCCTCTGGTGCCGCCAGGGAGGGGGGGGCCCAGCGCCCGTCCCGTAAAACCAAGCGGACCTCCGACTAAAGATGTCAAGGCAGTCGTGCCCACCTTCAATGTATGTATATATACATGTATATATATATATATATACACGTAGATTGGTCGCCCCATTGGAGTGCGCGCCAGCCTCCCATCTTCAGCACCAGCCTCTCCGGTCAGCGCCGCCGTGGATCTCGGAGGGCGCCAGCTGTACAAACGTTGCATCGAGATCCTGGCTTGGCCAGCCCTTACTGGCCCCCAGGATCGGCGTTGCTAAGGCCAAGTCAGGATCAGGGACACCGATAGGGGGGGATAGGCATATGGGGGAACGCATCGGCCCCCAATCGCCCATTCATCGAGGATGGGGTCCGATTGCCCCCTCCTGCCCAGGAACGTGCCGATTCGTTGTTGGGGGCCTGTTGCCGATCTACTGGCGATGCATCGCCGATTCCAGGTCGAGGTGTCCCCCCCGTGCCGGTCTTCCCCCCTGCCGCTGCCCCTCGAAGGCAGGAGGCCGCACGCACCAATCCTGGGCCAGGACCGGCCCGGCCAGGATCGGTGAAGGCGGCTATCGCTGGCACTCTCCGGGGATCGAGCATCCCTGGCGAAGGATCGCTTTCGCGTTGCGTTTCAGCTCGTCGCGTTTCTGTAGGTCCCTGGGAGGCGTTTCCTCGCCACTGAAAAGGCGGCCCCGAGTTGTTTCGGTATTTCTGCCGTCCAGACCGCATCTGGGTCGCAGGACCGTCAGAAGCCGCTCCCTGGAAGTGTGCAAAAGCAGGGACTGGCAACTCGAAAAAGTCGAGCTATCGGTCGAGTCTTCGGCCCTGCTCAGAGCATTGGACGGGAGGAGGAGAAGGAGGATGAGCAGGCGGATCAAGTTCTTGTCTGTTGTGATGATTTGGGGCTTCTCGAGTCCTCTTCAGGCCTCCATTGGCCTTTAGAGATCGCCAGAGGGGGGGGCAGAAGAAGTCGGAGTCAATATCAGAAAAGAGCATGTCCGCCCAGAATCGAGCTGTAGCGACTTCGAAGAGCGCGCAGCTCTCTCAGGCGCTGCTGCGATCCCCATCTTCCTGGCCCATCCCGAGAAGTGCATCTTGGGTATACTCATTGTCATCCTCCCTCGGGTCTGGCCACGTGTGTGGATCGAGCGCGCTTCAGTCAACTCGCTGACATAAGGACCATCTTGGGCTCACAAGAGGCTCTGATTTACGGGCCGATCATTCGTTCTTTGCTGCGGAACCAATTTGTTGCCCAGGCCCGCCGTGTCCAGAAAGGTCCTTTCGGTCCTTAGCATGCCTTCCTGATGGCAGCACGATAACTGTACTACTAACCACTACTGGTAATCCCCCTCTTCTTTCCTGCCTTGTCCTCTCGGCCCGTTGTTTCAGCTTCTCCTCCTCCGAGTCTTCCTCCCTTCTCCGTCGTTCATGGTACTGTTCTTGCTCCCCCCGTTCCTCTCTCCCTCCGCGCCCCATCCATCCTCATTATCCATCATTCCTTTCTCATGCCGCCAGAGGTTCTAACATGTTCTCGCGTTCCTATGTCACCACGCGGGCTCAAAAGACGAAGGCCTATCGAAACCATTGATTTCTTGGAACGTGTTCTGAGCCGAGCATCATGACATCGGGATCGGCCTATCATCAGCCTCCCCCATTCCCTTAGCCCTCACCTTTATTTCCCCAGTATGTGTATCATCGTCGGGCTCCTGCTCCTTCTTGTCGTCATCGTCATCCTTTTCCGCTGTCGTCCCATCTGTCCTCATGATCCTCGGATATGGCGAAGGTGGCAGTGCCACCAGACGAGGAAAACGAGGTGGGGATGATACCAGAGGCGGAAACGAGGTGGGGACGAGTACGTTCTGTACCGCCCCTGCTCCCAACACAGCCTTGGCAGAGGTTACGTCTGCCTCTCTTCAAGACGATGCTTAAGTGGCCTAGTTGTGGTCAATCCGTCAAACGCGGAACACGTTGTATTGGCAGTATGCGCATCCAATTTTGTGGATATTGTAGAGACAACGACTGTTTTGACAACGCACCTTCTGCATGCAGCGTTATTGATTCGGGCAAGTGGTTTTCTTGTTCCCGTCACTGCAAGTCCATTACTTGCGCCAACATAGAATCTCCAGTCGAGTTCAACGGTGCAATAACACACGTAAGTACCTTGTGTGTCCTCGCCTGGCCTTGCTTTCTGTTGCACTTGGTATTGTTTGCTTGTTTTCACAACGATGCCTTCGGCAGAATCTTGCGTCATCTCGGGTCTCATCTTTCTAGTTCCGACTGATCTCATATCAATGTGTTTTTTCTATGTCCCGGCCAAGTCAAAATAATTTGCATTGTCTCCCTCCACCACCTACGTAAACGCAGCGCGGTCCTAGCCTGTCCAGCCCACCTCCAGGTATGTGGTAAAGTTGTCTTCCAGGTATCCGCCGTTCTCTTCCTCTAAGTGTTCCCCCGACCTTCTCCCAAGAACCTCGTCTTCCTCCCTACCTGTACTTCCTTCCCCTCTACCCAGGTCCTCCTCCTCTCTCGTCCCCTGTTGGTCAATTATCCCCGCTCCCCCCCCGCCCTCTCTCTCTCTCTCGCTCTCTCTCTCTCTTTCTCTTTCTCTTTACCTGTCTTCTGCTTGTCGTTCTCTATCTCTCTCTTTGTCTCTCTCTTTCTCTCGCCCGCTCCCATTATTAGTCATCCCCACTCCTCGTCCTTCTGTCTTCCTCCTTCCGCTCGTCCCTTCCCCCTCCAGGATCATCATCACCCCTCCTTGCCCCCCTCGCCCGCCCACCTCCAACCTCTCCCTACCCTCCCACCTTCGCCCTCGCCCCTCCCCCGTCCTTCCCCCCTCACGCATCGGCCTCGTCTTCCCCCATCCCCGTTCCGCCCCCACCCCACCCCCAATCTTGCCTCGTAGGTGCTAGGCCCCGTGCAGCCTCAAGTGTACCCAGGGGCCGTCTTGGCCGTGACGCAGCTGCTTCGATGGAATCCCGCTTGAACCCCCCTCCCCCCTCTCAGGCGACGGCGCAGGATCCGAGGTGGTCCCCCATTGAAGCGTGGCCCATCGCCATGGCCCGGAAGCGCTCCTACTCCGAGGAGCCGGACGTTCTGCAAAACGGGGTGGGCGATGAATCCTGAAGAAACGTGCACCTCTCGTGCACCCCAGGGGTCCCGAAAGGGGGCGGCCCAAGAGGGGCACGAAACAGGTACACAGTCGGCCCTGATCAGCAGGGCGACCCTGCCAAAGCAAGGGTACCGATGTGTCCTCTGTCTCGCCACCCATGCCTCCCTCATTCCCATGGTGCTGTGGCCCTCGAAGGGTCTTGTGTCCTATCATGTCAAGTCCGACTGCATGTCTCTTCGCCCCCCCCCGCGTGGCGCCCCCCCCGCCCCCCCCGCCACGCAACGTTCCAAGGAGGCCTCGCCCTCGCAGCTGCACGCCGCCCTCGGAGCCGAGCGCCGCCGGGCCTCGTCGCCTCTCGGCGCCCAGCGGTCGCCCTGCGGGAGGGCGCCCGCGCGGAGGAGCGCCTCCTGGGCCGACGGCGGACGCGCCGCCTGGGCCGAGCTCGACCTGGGCAGCGACGCGGCCTGCAGGCCGCTCGGGCGGGCGGCAGCGATGGGGGGGGGGCAGAAGGCGCGGGGGCGTCGAGGACTCCTCTGCCTCCTCCTCCTCCTCCTCCTCCTCCTCCTCCTGCCGTGGGCGTTTCCCTGGCCACAAGGGTCCTTCGGCCCCGGTCTTGGAGGCCGCTGTCAGTCGGGTCCGACGCGTCGAGGGGCGTCGGTTGATCCCTGGCTCTCGCTAGTCCCGCTTGCCACGTAGACTGTGGCGATCATGACACTCATGACACTCCTCCTCCTGCCTTGGGGGAAAAGTCCATTGAGGTACCCCACGAAAGAGAGAAAGGGAACGATCCTGGGCCACCTCCGTCAAATTCTGTCACCTCAGGAACCAGGGGCGACATCTGGAACCTGAGGCCTTGGCGGGAGGTGGCCCAGGCTTCTGATCATTCAGGCCAAGCCTTGAGATCCGGAGGAAGCTTCCCATACCGCAACGCCCTCCCCACCCTCCGCCCATGGTCTGTGAGGCCATGCACACAGGTTCTCCCTAGCTTCAGCAGCTTGCCTCTCGAGGGAACACCTGAGCCCCCACAGAGCTGGCACCAGTACACACCCCTGTAAGCCTCCAGCCTATGGGCGGGGTGGATCGTGGCAGGATGGCCTGGGCAGGCCGACCGGAGGAACATCTCTCTTTCTCTCTCTCTCTCTCTCTCCCCTCCGTCGGACTGACAACAAACAGTGCTCCTCCTCTGCTGCAGGAGAGGGGCCTTCTCAGGGGCCCTGAGCGGCCCCTGAACTGTTGCCAGGGGCCCAGGAGGTGCACGCACGAAGGGTGCACGTTTCACTTCATCCCCCGGATATACAGAGGGATCAGGGTATGGAGTCGAGGTCGGTTCGGGCAGGGTAGCCTTCGTGCTGATTGGATGTTCTTGTGCATCACGGGGGAGGGTACCCTCGAATGGTCTGCATCTAGGCCGGCAGCGGGTCTCGTGTTCTTGAATGATGTTACCCGTCGGTCGGAAGACGTAGGTAGAAGCATGAAGTAGGAAGGCGTTGGAAGCAGATTGGGTGTGTTCGTCCCTGAGGAGGACGGAGAAGGTGAAGCCATTTCATCATTGAAGTCGGAAGGCGTTTAAAGTAGATTCGAATCTGGGGATCCAAAAATACCTACTTTCAACGATCGAGGGACGCATCGCCGACGTCGGCGACGCATCGGCGAGGCTGCGCGGTCCTCCGACCCCATCTGCTCTGACCCCACTTGGGAGGTCTGCATTGGGGGTGATAGGCCCATGGGGACCGCGTCGACCCCACTCGCCCGTGGATCGCCGATTGTGGCCTGATCACACCGCCCCGCACAGGGCCGGACGTGCGGGTTCGCTATAGGGGGCCTTGCGCCGATCTATCAACGATGTATCATGGATTTCAGGTCGATGGTTCCATCTCGTCCTCGTGCGGCCTCGGCGGCGGGCGGAGCCCCAAGCATCCAACGTCTTGACACATTGAAGGCGGCGTCGGTTCCACGCGTTCGGCCTGGGTCCCCGCCGGGCCCCGGGGCCGTCACAGACAGACTCGGGATGAAAAGCCGGCCCTGCGGGACGGGGCTCCGCCCTCTGACCACGACCACCACTCGAGACCAGGGGCGGCTGACCCATGATAGTGGTGTGCTGGGCGGAGTCGGCTAGTTGTCTGCTGGGCGCGGTCGGCGCCTCGCATAGCAAAGCAGCACCACAGGTCAGCAGCCCCTGGTCTGTAGTGGTGGTGGCAGAATCCAGGTCCACCAGAGATGTCGTCCAGGGGCCCACACGTCGGGAAAATCAAAACACCTCTGCCCCACATCGTTTGCGCCACCAATTGCCGCCCCCACCCACCCACCCCAAGTTTCCCCTCTCCGATGCGCGCGGACGGTAAGGGGGGATTGGGGGGGACGGACGGGAACATTGCGGCATGAAGTTTTTGTTCGGCCCCGCCGCGGAGGCAAGTTCTTCGGTACGTTGCCGCTTCTGGCGCCAAGAGGTACTAGGAAATTCTAGACGTTTCGCGTATCCCCACCAGCCTAGACGCAGCCCGCCGCGCATGGATGATATGGTCGCTGTGGTTACTTTGCAGAACACGCAGCCCTCAGCTGCTTCCTGGTATCCTTGTATGCCGACCAGCAGTGGGCCACAGCGGGCCACTCGGTATGGGAGCGTCACGCCTTCCCTGCTCGGAGGACGGGCCCAGCAGCAGACAGGAGGCTTGCGGGGGTCTTTCACGACGGCGACGGGCGAGGCGACATGCGTTCCCACACTTAGTGGTGTTCCTTCTGTGCTCGGCAAACCAGTGGCCTTCAGCCAGTTCCTGGTAGTGCTTTCTGCCCAGCACCCGCTGTCCCCCGCCCTTGGGGTCCTCGCAGCTGCCTGCTGACAATACCGGCACGTGGACTGCCGCTGGGGCCGTGGTCCACCTGTCCTAGTTGGCCCCTGGCCTTACTGTAGCTGTTTTCACCTCACCACAATCGGCGCGTTCCGCTCCCTGCGCCCACAGGCAGCCGCCTCGCTGGAGCGGTTTCGCTCTCCGCGGATGGACTGCCCTGCCCCACTCCTTCCTGGTCCCCCCCGCTCAGGCGGCTGGGCGTCGCAACGGCTCCGTCAGCTCCGGCCGCTGGTCCGCCCAGCCCCAGTGGCCCAACCCCATCGTGGGCGCATGGAGTCCCTGAGTGCACGTGGTTCAGCCTGTGCTCTCCTGGCTGTCGGATGATTGTGTTGACTACGTCCACGGTTCCTGGCGGCGATGCCCACGGCACCCTCCTGTTCGTTCGACCCGGTGCCTGAGACGTGGATTGTCTTGGTCCTGGTCAGCTCTCAGACGTCGGCGTTCCTGTTCGAGAATGCGCGTGGCTTACCTGATCCGGTGGTTCAGGCGTGTCAGGGTGTCGATTACATCCATCGTTGTCCTGGCCACTTCGCTCGTCCTGCCGGGATCACCCCGTGGACGGTCGTATGCAGGATCTGTACTCCCTTTCCGGAGTCTTGGTGTGCGAGTTTGGTGGCGCCACCCTATGCACTTTTCATGGCCAGTATGATCCCCTGGCAGCTGACGCAGTGTACTGCTGGTTGCCTTCCTGGCTACATCCAGGTACTACGTACTACCCCCGCGCCATTTTGGCTGGGCTCCAACCCTGGTTGGTTAATCGTGCGTGTGTGCGCGCTCCTGGACCTGGTCCCTGGCAGCTGCAGCCCGCACCCCCCCCTCACGCCGGCCCGCCCGCCGAGGCGCTGCTGAGGTCGCCAGCCCGTCGGCGTTAGGCAATTCGGTTCTTGCGCGGCCCGTTCGGACCACACTCGCCGCTGGCGCCCTCGCCTGCGGCTGCGACCAAAAATATCCCCACCAGCTAGGTTTGCGCGCGTCCCGCCCGTTCCGTTTGACGCCGCCTGCGCTTTCGCTTGCGTTTACGACAAAAAATATCCCCACCAGCCCATCCAGAAACGACGCCCAGGCGAGTAGAGGGTCGTCCTGAGGGGGTTTTCGGCGTCTTGGGTGCCTGGGGGGGGGCCTCTTTGGGCAGATAGGGATCATCTTGGGGGTCTCCTGGGGGTTTCTTGGGGCCTCTGGGGGCCATTTTGGGGCCTCCTGGGGGTTTCTTGGGGCCATCTTGGAGGACATCGATCAAAGAAGAGGGGCGTCAATTAGGGTTGCCCCTTCAGGAGGCCAAAATGGGGCCCAAACTGTTGTAAAATCAATGATTTGGGCTTCCTCGCCGAGACCGTTCTGGACGCCCTGACACCTCCCCACCCCTCCCGTCCAGGTCCACGGGGAGGAGTAAAGGGGAGGGGTAAACCCCTCCCCGAAGGGAAAAAGGGAGGGGTGGAAGAGGAAACGCCCTAAACCACCGACGCCCAAAGGGCTGGTGGGATTTATCCTCATGAGTTGATTCGCCCGGCCCGAGAGCAGGGAGAGAGTCAGGCCAGCTTTGGCCTGAGAAAAAATTCAGGGGAGTCGTTTAGTGCATGCCCTTCCACCCAGAGCCACAAGTAATTGCATTCGGAGCGCCTTGCATAGATTCATCCCCATTCGCTGCCCCATCCTCCCTCTCTTTCATCCCCTCCTCTGCCTTCTCCTCTACCGTCCCTCTCCTCCCCCTCCCCCTCCCCCTCAGTCGTCGTCGTCGTCGTCGTCGTCGTCGTCGTCGTCGTCGTCGTCGTCGTCGTCGTCGTCGTTGTCGCGTTCGCTGGCGTCGTTGGTGGTCGCTTGCTTTCATTATTGCCTGGACCTCGTGGCCCTACGCTGGGGCGCGCGAGTCAGAATCCCATTCCTGCCCCCTCCTCTGCCCCTTTTTGCCCCTCCACCTCCCCCATTCCCATTGCTGCCCGCCTCACCTCAGCCCGCCCCGAGGCTACTCCGCACGCCAGACGGGAAGGACGCCGCTGGGCACTGCTTCGGCCACCAGGGGGGCCCCGCGGACGGTCTTGGCCGCGCCACGTGATACATGCCACCCACGGCTGGCACTCAGGCTGACGGCGTTGTGGCCTTTTTGGTCGGTTTTTTTGGTTGTTCGCGTCGCGGCCTCCTGAGGACCCCAGCGTTCCATCAACAAGAACGACCCGCGATGGGAGCCGCGGCCCGGTGAAGAGGGGGTCGGCCACGCGCAGAGGGTTAGGGGGAGGGGGAATGCTTCTCAGACGCACTCCTGCTTCTGAGAAGGCGCGGGCCTTCTCCCTATACATGTAAGGCCGCGCCTTTTAAGAAGCAGCCTCTTTCAAAGAAGCCTTCCCCCCTCCCCCTGTTCCCCTGGTGCGCGCCGCCAGGAGGGAGAGTTCTGGGGGCCACGCGTGCCGGGAAGGCCACGGCGCTGGAGGTCTTTGCTCTGCTCCCGGCGCCTGCTTTTGGGCGGCCAGGGCCACCCGCGGGGGCACCCAGTGGTGGCCAGGGCGCCGCCTGGCCGGGAGGAACCTGCGGAGGACGGGGCGTCCGTCACCGCGACGCCCGACCTGGCCCTGAACAGCGACGGGGCGTCCGTCCTCGCGACGGGGCACCCGTCGTCGCGTCGACAGAGCCCAGGCTCGGCGGGGGACGAACCAGAGAGACACGCCGGTTGTTGAAAGTGGGTACTCCTTGAATCCAAGCTCTGAATCTACTTCGAGCGCCTTCCCACTTCATGGATCGATATGCGTTTGCTGCGTTGTGTTATTCTCTGGGAGGGCCTGAACCCAATCTACTTGATATCCGCCTTCCTACTTCCTGTTTTGACCTACTGCTTCCGACCGGCGTGTAAAAGGGGAGTGTCGGGGAGGCCGCGCTCAGAGCATGTGATTCGCCAGGTCACCCCGCCGTGGAGGGGAGTTTGAAGGAAATGGGTCCTCTGGATCCTGGGGGGGCGGATTTCCCCAGGGCCAGCTCCTCCCCGGGACCAGCCCTTTGTCTCGAGCCGTCTTCTGACGGCCCCGGGGCCCGTGGAGACGGCCAGCGTTGGCCACGCGCAGAGGGGGGGGGTATGCTTTTTAGAAGCGCCACTGCTTCTTAGAAGGCGCGGGCCTTCTCTATATACATGTAAAAAAAGGCCAGCGCCTTCTAAGAAGCAGCCCCCTCTCAGAAGCCTTCCCCCCCTCCCCCTACCCCCCTCTGCGCTCCGCCAACAGTGTGTGCGGGGGGGGGGTCGCCAAAGACGGCGAGAGACCGCCGGGACGCCCTGCCCCCAGGATTCGTTTGCTTCATGATGCTGAGCATTATGATGTTCCGACCTACTTTACTTTAGCCTTGAGCAACAGAAAGAATTTCGATCACCAGAGAAGTACCCAAACACTCAAGGGTTTTCACGTTTCGGGCCCTGGGAGAAACTGGCCCGACACTGTTTCGACACTCTTTCGACACTCTTTCGACACTTTTGTGGGTGCTCGAAATTCGTTCTGGGATGTGGTCCTTACGTACGATGGGGACAACATGAGCTGAGCACCCACTTTTGCGTGCTCCCCCCCCCCCCCCCAAGGCCGGCCCGACAGCCTGGAGGACCCGCTCCCAGCGCAGGAGCGCCCCCTCGGAGGGCGGGGAGGCGCGGCAGGCGGCCAGAGAGCAGGCGGGAGGGCCCCGTGTCTTGCCGCGTTGATCCCCCGCAGAGAGGGCGTGGGCTCCGGCGAGCGTGGCAGTGCAGGCTTGTCGTCGGCCCTTGAGGGAGGAGGACGAGGAGGAGGAGGAGGAGGAGGAGGAGGGAGGAGGAGGAGGAGGAGTATAATGACGAGAAGGGAGGAAGGGAGGAAGGAGGGAGGGAGGGGGGAGGGAGGAGGGAGGAGGGAGGAGGAAGGAGGGAGGAGGGAGGAGGGAGGAGGGAGAGGAGGAGGGAGGAGCGCAGGTGGCCCAAGACGCACCAGCGATGTTGCAGTACGTAATCCCGTCCCGTGATTGGGCCAATGGGCTTGCCATTCTGGCGTGAGCCCCGTTTCGAAGAGGAAGTCTAGACGTTTCGCGCAACCGCAGCAGCCAATCCAGAAACGATGCCCAGACGAGTTGCCCTGATCTGGTATGTGGAGTAGAATACAATTGAATAAAGGGTCAGGTAAGACGACGTAATCCAAGAGGGGGAGGATGAAGGAGGAATCAGAGGAGGAGCAAGAGGAGGAGGAGGAGGAGGAGGAGGAGGAGGAGGAGGAGGAGGAGGAGGAGCAGAATGAGTAGGGAGAGGTGGATGGGGAGCAGGTACGCGGAAGGAGGAGGAACAGGTGGATGAGGAAGAGAATGAGGAGGAGGAGGAGGAGGAGGAGGAGGAGGAGGAGAAGGAGGACTTCGAGCAGAAAGGTCAGGGGTCTCTTGGATGCCTCTCTGAGTCTCGTCGGATTTCGTAAAGTTTCTTGGACTCTTGTCGGAGCGTCTTGCGGGTCTCCGGACGCCTCATGTGGCGTTTTAGGTGTTTCTGGTGGACTGATTGCAGCCTCTTTGGGTCTCTTGGGCCATCTTGGAGGAGATCGATCACATGAGGGGAGCTACCCCAGTTGGGCCCACCCCTTTCCGCGTCCAGGCCATTTTGGACTCTCCAACGACCCGCCGCCCCTCCCTCGAGACCCACGGGGAGGAGGTAGGGGGAGGGGTCAAGACACCCCCTAGATAGCAAGTCGTCTAGCTCACTTCCACCCGCCCTCCCAACACATAAGTAACACCTGAGCTTGAGCATGTTAAGCGCTCGTCTTTGGATGGGCAGCTACTGGGAACCAAAACCGACCCATGTGCGCGGCGCTGGGGCGAGGTGCGCCATGCGTGCCAGGCGCGCCATGCGCGCCAGGCACCCTTGGGGCCCGAGCATGCCAGGCACGCCTGGTGCGCCAGATGCGCCACGTGCTCCGTGTGTGCTGCATACTCCAGCCGCACCATGTGTGCGCCCGCGCACGGGGCAGCACACATTTGGAAACGTCTCGGCACCCACCACCCTTGTCGAAAACCAATGCCCATCATTGTGTCTAGCGGGCCTGCGCACAGCAGGCCATACGCCACCACCCCCGCCGTCCGTGTCAAAAACCACTTGACAGCGATTGCGGGGTGGCCGCGCACTATCCAGATTTAGCCGCGAAGTGCATTTTGTAGTGTTTTTTGGTTAGGGATGGTCGCCCTACGCACAGCAGGCATTATGTTGGCACCCCCGCCGTCCCCGTCGAAAACTATTCCGACGGCAGGACCCCGCATGATAATCTATGCAGATTGCCTTTCGCTCTTTCCTGTTTCGCCCTGGCCAAAGCCCCCTGTCTCGCCCTCTGTTGTGTCTCCTCCTCATCCTCATTGTTTTCCTCGTCCTCCGTCTATTCCTCCTGCTCGCCCTCCTTGCTCAATTTCTCCTCTTTCTCCTCGTCATTGTCCTTCTCCTCCTTCTCCACCTCCTCCTCCCTCCTTCTCCCCCCCCACTCATGTCCATCCCGCCTGTTCTCCTCATGCACCTCTCCCTCCTGGCAAAGGGGGCGCATGCCGATTTTCGTCGGAGCCCTCGCCGCCTTGCCCGGCAGGGGCGCGTTTTTCCCGATGGCAAGACCGCGGAGCCGTCGGGGCAACGGCCGTCGGGACAACCCCGCGAGCAGCCGGGGCGCGAGAGCAAACCGTTGGGACAACCCCGCAAGCTCCGAGTTAATCGCGGCCGCGCTCTGGCGGGAGGCAGCACGAATTTCAGCTCTGCTGCGAGCCACTCCTCCTCAGCCCTGGAGTCCGCCGCTTTCTTGTCGAACTCGAGCGACGTGTGACTAGCGAGGGGGCTCTCGCCTAAGACTTCCTTGCGCCTCGCTCGCAGACGCGCGAGGAACGCTTCGTGATGTGTCCTTCTGGTCTGCTCAAAGGCTACGCCGGGCAGAATTTGCCGATGATTCGCTCGGATAACCAACATGGAATGCAGACCCCATAGTGAAGAAGCTGTCGCCTAAGACTTTCTCGCAATTTACTCACATACGGAGCTCCTGCCTGAGACTTTACCCGCGTTCAGTCCAGAGGAGCCTTACAGGGTTCCGATGACCCGCTCGAATCTTAACCGACGTGAAGCGCGGACCCCATATGGAACGGGCTCCCGCCTGAGACTCCTTGGCAATTCACGCAGGCGAAGGTCCCGCCTGAGACATCTTCCGTATCCAGTCCAGAGGAACCGACACATGACGACGGTAACTGGGTTCCGTCGGCCCGTTCGGATTACCAACGTTACACCAGAGAAAAACCCTAATCACTGGAAATAGGATCGATAAACAGATCGACGAAGATATCGATCGGGAACCCAGGAACCCGGAACCCACCGAAATCGGCCCGGAATCAACAACCAGGAAGCCAGGAACCCGGAAGTGGGAATTTGGGAACCCAGCTGGCTACTTAAATCAACGGAGAACACGGAACCTGGAACCCGGAAACCCAGCGTGCGACCAAAATCGGCGGGACACTTTCGCCAAATCTCCCAATTTCCGTTATGACCCCTTCAGTGCAAGCGCTGATTGGGGAATGAAGTGCGGGCCTCATATGGGAGGGTGCTCCCGACTGAGACTTCCCAGCGATTTTCTCGCTGACAAAGCTCCCGTTTGAGAATTCCACCGCATTCAACCCAGCGGAGCCGAATAATGATAACAATTACACGGTTCCGATGACCCGCTCGGGTTGCCAACATGAGATGCGGACCCTATAAGGGAGGGGGTCCCGCATAAATGTTCTTAGCACTTCGTTCACAGACGAGGCTCTTGTTATGTCGATACGCACGATGGAATGGTGATAGTGGTGGATATGTGAAGATAGTGATGATGGTGGTGGTGAGTTGGTGATAGTAGCGCTGATGAGGATGTGTGCGAATATGATGAAGATGCTGATGATGAGGATGAGGATGAGGATGAGGATGCTAATGATGATTGCTATGGTGATGATGAGTTCGTGCGGCGGTGTGTGTGAGTGTGCGGACGATTATGTATGAATGTGCGTGTGTGCTGATGATGGTGGTGGTGTTATTGATGATGGTGATTGTGCAGAAAAGTTTTGATGTTCCTGCGTGGAGGGGTGCAGGGAGAAAATCGACTTACGATGCAGGGAACAATACAAAGTACCCGCGGGCCTGACGAACGCGCGCCTGCCCAAAACTGCCGGTGTTACAGGGCTGGTGGGGAGGGTCGGTGGGGAGGGCCGCATCGGGATGGCCGCGCATGTTCGAAAAGGTGGAGGAGGATTGGAGACTGTTTCCACAGGTTGGGTCGCTGATTTCTTGGCTGGTGAAATCGTAGCGTCCGCCTTTGGGGGTCGCCGCCCCTTTTTCCCCCCTCCCTCCCCCCCCCCAGTCGTAACAGTACCGAGCGGGCCCGAGGATGGATGCTTGTATGATTCTTATTATGCGCACTACCTTTGGTACGAGTATTTTTGCTATCAGTTAGTTCTAGTACTAGTATTACTACTGCTACTGGTACTGGTTCCAATCGTAGTAGTAGTAGTAGTAGTACTAGTAGTAGTAGTAGTAGTAGTAGTAGTAGTAGTAGTAGTAGTAGTAGTAGTAGTAGTAGTAGTAGTAGTAGTAGTAGTAGTGGTAGTAGTAGTAGTAGTAGTAGTAGTAGTAGTAGTAGTAGTAGTAGTAGTAGTAGTAGTAGTAGTAGTAGTAGTAGTAGTAGTAGTAGTAGTAGTAGTCGTAGTCGTAGTCGTAGTCGTAGTCGTAGTAGTCGTAGTAGTAGTAGTAGGTAGTAGTAGTAGTAGTAGTAGTAGTGAAAGTAGTAGTCGTAGTAGTAGTAGTAGTAGTAGTCGTAGTAGTAGTAGTAGTTAGTAGTAGTAGTAGTAGTAGTAGTAGTAATCGTAGTCGTCGTCGTCGTCGTCGTAGTAGTAGTAGTAGTAGTACTGGTATTACTACTACTACTATTACTACTACTGCTACTACTACTGGTACTTTTATTATTTCTGATATTATTACTGGTACTACTAGTGCCAGTACTACGGTTACTCCTTTTACCACCACTACCACTACTACCACTACTGCTACTAGGACCGCGACTACGACTACGACTACTACTACTGCTACTACTACTACTACGACTACTACACATACCAGTACTACTACTACTACTACTACTACTACTACTACTACTACTACTACTACTACTACTACTACTACAACTACAACTGCAACTACAACTACAACTACAACAACAACTACTACTACTAATACTACTACTACTACTATTACTACTACTACTACTACTCTTACTACTACTACTACTACTACTACTACTACTACTACTACTACTACTATTACTACTACTACTACTACTACTACTACTACGACTACTACTACTACGACTACTACTACTACTACTACTGCTACTACTACTACTACTACTACTACTACTACTACTACTACTACTACTACTACTACTACTACTACTACTACTACTACTACTACTACTACGTACTACTACGACTACGACTACTACTACTACTACGACTACGACTACTACTACGACTACTATATACTGTGACGACACGACTACTACTACTACTACTACTACTACTACGACTACTACTACTACTACTACGACTACTACGACTACTAC